AATTTACTCCGCAGACGTTTAAACAGGGCAGTTTTTTTAACTCGTTATTTTTTATATTACTGTTTTTTCTTGTTTTTTGTTCTTCTATACAATTAAGATGGCGAAACAAGTTGTGAGCAGTTGCTTTGCGTAGCCAAACAAACATCTGGACTTAGACCTTCCCAACTTTGGACACGTGCTTGCAGGGTGAACGAAACTGAAATTTTCGATTAACAATAGAACTCATCAATCATTGACCAGCGTAATACGACAGAAAGATTAGCAGCAAATGGGAATGAACTTCTGAATCTTTTGTTATTTGTGTCGGCCGAGGTTCCACCTGTGCTTGTGAAAAACTTAGTTGTGATTCGTGAATACACATATCCCAGGTGGATGCTGAAGTCATAGAAGGCTACGCTTTCTTTGAAACGATTACAAATGCTGCAGAGACTGAGGAAAATATCTTCATATTTATCCGGTATCCGCAAGCTAGCCGTCTTAGTGATACGTTGTTACTATAGCCTGTAGTCACCATTCTTAAAACCTCCTGAGACGCTGCGTCCACCAGTGTAACCATTAAGTCTTTTTTTTTTTTTTTAACACACACAAAAAAAAAAAAACGACGCCGTTTTTAGGAAAAGAACGTTTGTCCACCGTCATGGACATGCTGCCATCTGGAGGGGTGTTGAGCAAACAACACTACAAGAAACTGGCTGCTCGCTGTTGCTAATAACGACCTGCAGCACACGCACGTACTACGGGCGACGGCAATGTATATAATCAGTTTACGTTATTTACACAAACGGAGGCTTTGTTAATTTAGGTTTCTAGCTCTCTTTAAAGTTCACAGATGGTTAGTAATTCCTACTAGTGATAACAGTGTTAGCATGGGTTGTGATATAGTCGCTCGTGTGTCCACGTGGGTAGACACTGGGACACAAAACTTGTGACCTGAATTTCATGATGACTATGTTTTACTCACCATCAATGTCAAACACTCGCGAAGTGAAAACAATTGGTTCGATTGATTGTGTTATTTTTTTTAGTACTAACAACAAGTTAGGCTGACGCCATTTAAGACATCGTGTGCGGTGCCACAAGTTCTGATGTTGACGACTGTGACAATGACAGTGATTTTGTGGCAGCAGAAAATGAAGTTAGGGAGGATTCTTCGTCTTCCGACGAATCAAGTGATGAAGATGAATCCCGGCCGCCAGCCAGGAAAGTTTGGAAACCCTCGGCTAGCCCCCGTTCCAACTCTCGCCTACCAGTGATGGAGACTGGGTGCCGAAACGATCCAAGCAAGGGAAATTTCACACCAGGCGACTACTTTCGGCAGTACTTGGCTTCCAGCATCGTTCCAGCCGGACCGCAGGTGACGAACGTCACTTGCATGTTCCTGCCCACCTATGTCCGCAACGACCTGTTGGTCCACCCGTCCGCTCATGCGGAAGGTCCTGGAAATCACGCGTGCTGTGGATACGTGCACCTAGTGGAGCGAGGTGGCACGTAAAACCTTGAGATCTCTAGCGGCAGCGAGCGCCTCGTCATCATGGAGGAGGAGTCGCCAGTGGTGGCGGTCTACTCCTTTTTTCTTTGGAAGCCCCAAGTACCTCGGTGGCGCCACTGACGGCAGGTACAAGGACTCGACCAACAGCTCGGACCCCTCGGAAAACTCGGACCCGACAAACACACGCCGGGGTCAGGCCCAAGACGCCGAGCGCGTCATTGTAATTTTATAAGTCACGAACACACTCGCCCGCTTCCGCCACTTTCATTTAATTTTGTTTATTTCATTTGTTAATCTTTCAGGGCCCTTTAGGGCACTATACGAGGAGGGTCAATAACACACTAAGAATCATCGTTTAAAATGAATAAACACTCGCGGAAAGGAGGTCCGCAATACAGGTGAACCAAAGAAAAACAAAATGCAACCAGTTATCAACATATCGCAATATTATTAATATTTGTTTTCATGATATATACTGTGAAGATCCAAGGTGATTGATTAATTCTTCGGCATATCTATCGGAGTTAGTCTCGGTTACAGCGATATCGGGTAATTTATTCCAGTCCTTGATTGTCATAGGCAGATAGGAATTATAAAATGCTACAGTTAAACTAAAAAGTCGGGCGAACTTTGCGAGAGTTATCTTGGCGGAGAGATATTCTGTGAGGTGGAAGGAAGATGGATGCTCTAATAGAGACATTGTTACAGTATAATTTATGAAACCGGGTTAGTCGAGAAAGAATTCACCTAAACGAGAGTGGGTGAAGGTTAGCTTTGCTCTTTAGAACTGTTACGCTGTTGAAACGAGAGTAGTCTGTGAAATTGAACCTTAAAGATTGGTTTCGCATTGCCTGATTTCATAATCAGGTGATGCTGCCATGGAGACAACACAAAAAACGCACACTCTAGACGATTTCTAACAAATGTTATGTATGATATATTGCTTAATTTCAGGTGAGGCCATTTTGGGGTGGCGCCGAAGATATCCCAATGATGAATTGGGCTTAGATAAAATAAATGTGAGTTGCCCAAGATATATCACAGGTTAAATGAAGGCCGAGGTATTTACAAGATGTGTATGGGTCAATTGTTGTATCGTTGAGTTGATAAAAGAAGAATGTTGGGGTCTATGATTTGATGAAGGACACTAGTTTTGTTTTATTTACATTAACTGTCATTTGCCATTTCTGGCACTATTCTATAATTAGTAAGTCAGCCTGTAAGAGTAAGTGATTATTATTATTACTTATTGGTCTGTATAGAGCACAATCGTCAGCAAAGAGGCGAATTTCAGATGTTAGGTTAAACAAGCTTTTCGTCTGGAAGCCGCATGTTTCTGTCACTGCCAAGCTGTACTTCCGAAGCCACGACGATCCACTACCCCGGCATGTTTACACTTCTGCTGCGATATTAAGTACACGCGCTTTTGTAGCTTTGGTTTCTGAATCCAGCAAAGTCAAATTTGGGGTTTTACGTGCCAAACCAACGACGGGCATCTGGCACGCCCCAGCGGAGGTCTGAGGATTAATTTGGAACACCTGGGGATCTTTTGACGTGCGACCGAAAGCTCGGTGACACGGCGCCTCCTCCGCAATAAGCCTCCGTCAGATTGCGGGCAACCCGCCACATGGGGTCTGAATCCAGCAGTATGTGGCATTTTCACTACACTTCGACTAGGGTAGCCACCCGTCCCACGACAGGAACTAGCTGGAGTATGTGGAGAAGAAGGGGACACCTTAGTGACAAGTATGAGGGTACAAGACATTGTAATAGGCCATGTAGGGAAATACAAATATCTGGGGGTCTGGCTCAATAAGGGAAGCAAATATCTAGAGGAACATGAGGAGAATATAATTAGAAAAGGAACGAAATTAATCTATTATGTAGCTCAAGGCACTATGGAACTATAATAGATAAGAAGTAATAAGAGGCATATGGAAAGGAGTGATGGTACCAGGACCGTATTTCAGCAATGCAGTACTGTGCATGAAATCAGAGGTTCAATCAGGATTAGAAATTCGACAGAGAAGCGTAGGCAGATTGGCATGGGAGCACATGAAAGACACCCAATGAGGGAGTATAGGGGGCATCATGGGATGGTCGTCTTTTGAGAGCAGGGGGGCAATTAGTAAGTTGAAATTTGAACAAAGGTTGACCGAAATTGATGATACGCGGTGGGCACGGAAGGTATTCAAATATTTATACATGAAAAGTTTAAACACAAAAAGGATAAACCGAGCCCGAAAACTTACATTTAAATACCTACACACTGGTGATGGGGCTGAACAGACTACTTCATTGAAAAAGGGGGTGAAAGAGGCAGAGAGGAAAAAGTGGGAGGGAAGAATGCAGGAGAAATCGGCTCTAACAGTGTACAGGTCACGAAAACACGACATAAGAAAGGAAAATGTGTTTGTCAATTCACTGGGAAGTTCTTTGCTGTTCGAGGCGAGAACGGGAGCTTTGAGGACGAGGAAAATTTTAGAAGACAGACACATTATGTGCCGCCTGCCATAATGATAGCGAGACACTAGAACACTTGGTTTTGAAGCTCACGGGGTTCGCCCTACCCTCCTTGAAGGGGTAACGGATTTGGCCGGGGCCCTGGGTTTTACTGGCGACGATGGACGGACGGAAGAGGAAAGGATTTCAGTGACAAAGAGACGATCAGAAGATTGGTGGAAATTATCTAGGGGAAATTGAATGGTGAACAACTACCTAACACAGCTGGGAACAGGCGGGACAGAGGAAAATTGGGACTCCCCCCCGCGTGGCTCCGGCCCAAAGTCTCAACCCTGTCTCCCAGTGGGTCCGGTGCTGGGGTAACGCCGACAAGGTTTGACCAGGAAAATTGGAGACTCCTTTGCCGAGGAAAAGAGGCAGGGAAATGATGTTTTTGTAGGTTGAGTAGTTTCGCGTGGCTCGCATAATGAGCCGTGCTCCGTGCTGCGCATGTGCGAGGAGCAGTGACATCACGCGGCGCACAGCTGGCGTGCCGGAGCCGCCGCCACCGCGCCCGCCTCGCCGGTCTGCGCATTCCAGAGTGACGTCATAGCCGCAGCAGACGCACTGGCGCCGCCACGTGCCCAGCTGTGCGCCTCCGTTGCGCAGTAGCCGAGTCTGACGCTGCACCGGAGCCGCTTGATAGCGCCTCTCATTTTGTGCGCATAAGCTCACGCGCTACGTATACCCTGGCATAGCCGAGCTAAGTCACCGCATTTTTTTTTTGCCCGATCTCCTGAAGGTTATCCTGGTGATATCCCACACTGCCTACTGGTAGTTAGGGGGAGAAAATTGCTCTTAGAATGGCAAAAGAAATCATATAAAGTTTTCGTCTTTTTAGACTTGGGATAGGTGGCGCAAGCTACCGCCCCTTACAAAGAGTATAGCCATTAACATCAATCCATCTATTCTTTTCGAACTTTTTCGGTTCGCTTGAGATTCGGCTACTCTTCCGAATCTTTCCGAACCTTCAGAATCGACTCCGTAATTCGGATAAAGATTCGTCCCATCACTACTCCATACGCTCCAAAACAAACCGCTAATTTCATTCATTTTATCCCAGCCCATACGTACTGCGCTGCAGCCGCGTTTGAGTTTTTCGGCGACGGCGGTGTTTTGCTGGATGTTTTCGGCGTGAGCGGAAAATGCAATGGCCGGCTGCTGTGCTGTCGGGTGCAGCAACAGCACTAAAAAAGGATTCCGCCTTTTCAAACTGCCAAGAGACAGGGTACGGCGCAAAATATGGGTGGCAAAAATCAAGAGGGCCATGTGGAAACCCACTGATCGAATGATGCTGTGTGAGGTAAGGCGATATTGGTACATATTTCTTAAATACGTTCTCTGTACTGACGACGCGGAGTTCGCCAGAATAGTAATATTTGAACGCGACTTAACTTGTAACTAGTTCCCGAGGTGCTTGGCAATAGCATGTAAACAAATCGGTGCTCACTCACGTACAAGTTTGTGTTTTAGCGTCAAAAATTGGCGAGCGAATTAATATCACGTTGCTCTCGATCGCCAGCACACTGCGGGGGATGAAGAATTAGCTCTATAAAATAAAAAAAATCACGCATAAATCACGCGAGGGTCTAAAAAGCTTTCAGCCTTTCCACTCTGGTGGAGAAGGAAGAGCAGCGAAGTACAGCGGAGCTGTACTATGTGTCGCCATCTATGAGCGACGGCGGCAACTAGACAACCGGCAAGCAGTCTGTCTAATTGCCGCTGTCGTTCATAGATGGCAGTAGCTGGCTTTCCGTTTCTCTTGTTTCCCCTCTGCTGCACGCTCCTGTTACCTTGTGTCAATTGCAAGTTTTAGTTTAATGTGACACTTTTAATTGGATCAGGCAGCTCCATCCAAAGTGTAAGAATGAGTGTGGCAAAAATCATTTTGATCAATGTCTGCCTTTGCAGTTGAGCAAAACTTGCTTGAACCTCAATGAATTTGTGAGACTGGCATCTTTGTAATGATATATGTTCGCAATCAAATTTGACTTTCGGTTTCAGGCTCACTTCGAATTGTCACAGTTTGAAATGAACAGAAAGGATGGATGGAGAAAACTTAAACCTACAGCCGTCCCGTCCTTATTTGCACACAATGCGCCCAAGGGACCTGTGAAGGGGAGAAAGCCACCAAAGGAACGAGTTGCTACAAATGACAAAGTATGGTTATCATTTCTTGTTACTGCTGATTACATTGTTACCAGTCTGTCTCATGCACTGATCTTTGCAAAAAAATGCCTGCAACATTTTTCTTTTTTTGCTGATTCACATTTGCAATAGTACGGATAACAATGGGCACAAGGGGACAAAACCACGAAACTAATTATCTCTTACTAAATTTTTATCCACAGGCACTGGACAGTCTACAAGTACTGAGTCTGGGTCGGTTACACAGGCACAGAGGCTATCTTCTCTGGCTATCATCATCACCGAAGTGGGGATAAAAGTATGGTATCCCCATAGGCTCTTCACGTTCACAATTGAGACAGTGTAGATTCTTGCGTTTATTTTGTCGTATAGTATCGGCGGGAAAACAATTTTAGCAGAAAGTGGTGTGATTCCGTTCGGTGCTTCAGTGAAGATTGAATCGTGTTACCAGCATGCGGCCTAAATCTAAATAATTGTTTGTGTGGATACGTCGTCTGCTCCAGGCAGACTTGGGAAGTATGGATCACCATGACAGGTGCCTGCTTCCGTGTGTACTGTACTATTTATGTGAAGTACTTGTTTCTTTTAAAAGAGATATTTCGGATCACTAGCGTGGAAATGCAACAAAACAAGGAATTCCAAGCCGGATACTTACATACTGGTACTGTGGGTTGTTGAATCGCAGGTTCCATGAATTTTTTGTTTGCGCATAACTTTTGGCTTCTGCAGTAATATAAATAATGCAGATTGAGAGAAGTTAGTGCTCTATTAGAAATGACCGTGATAATGCTAGTTTCTAGAGAAAAAAAGTTCTGCTGCAGCCAATGTTTCCCTCTGCTGAGGAGAGAGTGTCTCTTCTGGTTCCGATCGGCAAACTTCTCGTTGCCAAGTAAAACAAAGTGGCATAAACGGGTGTAATCGAGCAGTGTGTGTGTTATTAGATGCAATCTTCAGTGGTCTGGGTTTAACCACTTTAATTTTTTGGGGAGGGTTGCGGATGCCAACAGGCTCATATTATAAATGTCTTTTGCCTAAATCCTCTTCCATTAAAACGTAGCAGACTCTGCGACTCTAACGAACGACCCACACCACGACGCAGGCTTTTGATAATTCCCTCCGCCCAAACCTTACACATATCAAGACTGGGCCGTTCATTGACTATTCTTCAGATTATTCAAGTGATGCTTAAATTGCAATCATCTTCTTTAGCCGTTTAATTGGAGTCTTGTGCTGCTAAGAGTTAGGACAAAAAGGAAAAGTGAAGAATTGGCTGTTTTAATATTTCTGACGACTTTATTTCTTTCAATTCACAGGCTTCCTGGTAAGCCACTTCAGCATGCTTGTGATTTTAATTGTAATTGTATCTACTGTTTAGATTATGAGTTAAAAATGTCGTCCATATTAAAAGGCTTCCTGTGTTCATATTTCTGTAGGCGTCACAACATGAAGTTTGAAATGGGACTGCAACATGCCATTTAGGATATAATAAAACTAGCACAACAATCTGTACTTTTATCCTCTTTCCAGCAATGCGACTAGAAAAATCAACTAACGGATTTATGGATTGATTAGTCTATTAGAGAGTGGCAACCACTCGGGTTAATTTTTTTTAATCAACCCCCCCCCGCTCTAATCAACAATCACTGTTTCATGAAAGCTATGAGCGTGCGAGATAACAAATATATGTAGGGCCAGCGGTTCTACAAACCACAGCAGCAAGATTATTGAAGCATCTGACCTAATATTTATCGCTTGGTTCAATTTCCACGCGTGTGATACGATGCAACACAACCTTTAGAAAGAAAAAACAACAAAAACAGGCATTTAATAAGGAGAGTTCAGCTCAGCCGGAAATGGGCCTGCGTCGTCGAGATCCATGCTTATGAATGCACGCCCATAGCAGACGACGTACGGAAAAATTCTGCTTTCGCATATTCTCAATTTCGGCCGCATGGTGGCAAAACGGTTCAATCTCTATGCGATATTTGTCTCTAGGATGCGTCGCGGGAAAAAAGGAGCGGTCTGAAGAAGACGTCGCTGAACAGAAGCGCCGGCACGCTGAAGCTCAGATTGTTCATCGTGTCAATGAGACGCTGGAAAAGAGGGAACAGCGTCATGCCAAGGGCAGAGAAGCAAAGCGGCCTTTTTATGCTACGATAGAGGATCGTGTGAGGGAACAAGGTGCTGCAAGAAGACACTACTACAAGAAACAGGGCATCAATTTGCAAGGGTTTGCATCGGCGAACAATTACTTAAGAGAGTGCATCGGCAAGGTCGGTGAACAAAATACTTTGAAAGCGCCAACAGTGACGGTGATCTCCATTTGGGGCTTGAGAGCCTCCAGAGGTTGGCATGGTAACCCATAGTGACCCTGCTGCTAGAGGCACCTGGTGGCCACTTTGCTAGCATGGCTTATCATATCTTCACTCGTTATTTAAAAGCACAATGACTGAAAGCAACGTAAAATTGTGGTTGGCAATAGCGGCACGAGCAAGACTCTAGTTACCAGTGCCTCATTCACGGATTAAATAGATTGGCTAGGTGATGCAAGCCCCCGCCCCTCAACTCGGGAACCGTCTTTCAAACGACATTGTGCATAAAGCAGAAAAGATGGCAGCGCATGCAGAGCAGATTTTAAACGCTGCCAGCATTTGCAAACGGGTGCCAGGAGCATGCCCTTCTTATCTAAACTCCGGAATTTTCTTTAGCGCGAGTCATTCCTCAATGGGCATTGTTTAAATCAGACAACTGCCTCAAGTAGTCTTTGTCAGAAGCATTGCGGGGAAACTTATGTTTTCGTAGCAGTGCGGGCAGTGCCTTACCGGTAACAGGACGGAAGCTCACCGGACAATTTTGGCAGACCCGGACAAAATCTTAATTTCTTTTTTTGATAAGCCGGACAAAAGTTTACTCGGGGTAAGATATGAGCTGGGCTAAACTATGGGCTAAATGGGGTCGCTTCAACAGGCCTCTGAAAAGTATATTCTTTGAGCCCGGTTAAATAAAAACCGAGGTCAAACCAGACCAGAATTTCCTTCAAAGCTGCGGAATGAGCACGAGGCCATGTTAAGGGACAAGGACAGGACCAATAACTCGTGTGAAGGGTAGAACAAGAGGTTCCAAGCAACCATTCAAGTGTAGATCAGCCATGCAAGTGTCTGGAAGCTGATAGAATGTTTTCAACAGGATAAAGCGTTGATCACGATAGCTTTGCTACAAGTACGCCAAGGTAAATTCGTGGTGAAGAGTTTTCGGAAAGCAACGAAGCGTCTTCAGAACCGCCCGAGGAAGTTGTGTGGAGTATCGGCTTCACAGAGACGTGCTGAAACGGCTGGAGTTAGTGGAATTCTGTATTGGCCTTTAAAGACTTGAACAATAGACATCATTTTTATCATTTTACATACTTTTTAATAGAATGTACCGATTACTTTGGCATCTTATTTGAGCATACTTTTTAATAGAATGTGCCACTTAATCTGTCATCTCATTTGAGCTCATGTAGAAAAGCAGAAAATTTTATCTGGGTTCACGAGTAAGCGGTGAGTTTTCGTCCGTGTCTGCAAAAACTCCGGTGAGCTTCTGTCCGGGATTTGCCTTATTGGCCTACGGGCCCACCGCAACCATGTCTCGTTTCGTTTCATCGGTTTGTTTGTGCGGGTAGACGCCGATTTTAAGATGTCGGTTTGTTAAAAACCTTGCTGCTCTATGGAGGGCTGCAGGGGCCAGGATCACAGTGAAAGTGGCCACGGGATACCGACAGGTGTCCTTTTGTGAGCCATTTGGCTGCAAGCAGTCAGGTGCTCGCCTAGCATCAGATTCGTCCAAATGTGCATGGTCTCGTCATTTTGCTACGGATGTCCATTATCCGTAAGTATACCAACGTTACTAGGTTATGGCGGTTGTGGAACTCCCCCCAAAGTGGGCTACACATTCCATTCCCCTCACTCCCTTGAGTAGCAGTAGTAAATATGTTTATTGAAAAGAAAGGCGATTGCGTCGTTGCCTCTTGGTTGATACCATCAGTCCGCCTTCCATCATTCGAAGCGCAATCTAGATTTTCGTTTCAGAGCTGTGCCTTCCGTGGAGTGTGATTAAACGCACTCTAAACGCTTTGCTTAGAAACAGGCATTCCATGGAATATACCTCGCAGTTTCCATAGCAGCCATCCTCAGATCGGTGGCGCGTTGAACGGCGGGACATGAGCTAAGTGGGGGGGGGGGGGGGGGGTTAAAAGGGTAGTACTGCTCGTGGAAGCAGCGTCTATGGGCAGTTTCGTAACCGAGCTCATCTAGTAACGTGGGCGTATCCTCAACACCCCCTTTAGGGTGTTTTCACATGACGTCGATCTGCCATTTTGTTGTTTGAGTGAGTGAGTGAGTGAGCGAGAAAATGTTTTCATTCAAAAAAAAAAGAGGCACGATCAAACTTATAGTTTTTGTGCACTGCTGATTTGAGGGCGTCGAAATATTCGCCTTCAGCATGTGCCAGACAGCTCATGACAACAAAATGGCGAGCGGAATTATGCCGCCGAGCACACCCCATATAAGAAAGCTGTAGCATTGAATTTTCAACGTCGTCGAAAGGAGGCGATTACCCAGACTGGACACGATCGAGTGCTGCGTCAGCGTTGGCTCCCAGACTCGATTGGTGCCCCACGTTTGCGCCCTTAGCAGGAGGCAGTTTCAATACTCCTGTCAACGAATTGATCGGGAAATATGACCCTTGCTGCAAATTTTCATAGTCAAAGGGGCAGCGTGACGTTTTTACTTTGACCGATTAACTGCAGGAATTAATCTGTCACCCATGAAACGAAGAATAGATAACCATTCTTTCTTGCCCGCGCTAGCTTTTATTTTAAAAAAATGAAACAAACCGAAGGCCAAAGTACCCTTCAACTCTCGCACCTTCTTTCAAGCGACATCATTGAGGGACCATCTAGTTTCCCATCGAGTTCTGTCTTCAAAAACCCCAGTCGCTCCCTCCACAATTGTCAACTTTTCAAGATTAAAATCGCCGAATGTCGCAATTAAGTGAGCAATCAAGACAAAAGACGGTTCGCCACGGGGCTGACGGTGAGTGTAGCAGCGGATGGGGACTGGTTTCGTTGGCTTGCATGTACTCCCACTCACGCGACGCCGTAGTTTCACGTAACCGCCACACGTAACTGCAGATTGGCAAGTACCTTTTTTTTTTTTGATGTGTTAGCATTAGAACGTTTGTTTTGACAAAAACCCGGCGGTGTCTGTCAGTTTGCCAGCACCTAGGAGAGATTGACACTGCTATTGGTCCGAAGCGCTGACGTCAGCACGCGTCACCCTCTCCCTCTTTCCCCGGCGCTGAAGGAGGCGCCGCGGCGCGGTGGTAGAATGCGGGCGTGTTTGGTTGCCGCTCGCCGGGGGTTCTTCGCTTCGGGTTTCCGTAGTAGCGGTGCGTGGGGCTGTGAGCCGCGTGTGTAATTAAAACGATAGATGCGGTGCCCTCCACGATTGGCATGGATGTTCCTTCCACGAGTGGTATCGATGTTGTTCTTTCCACGAATGACATGGAAGACCGTGTCCAACGGCGTCGACGGAAGATAGCCGAGGCCACGCTTCGGCGGCGTCAAGCCGAGACTGAGGAAGAACGCAAGCGTCGTTTGGCTGCTGCCGCAGAGTCAAGGCGACGGAAGCGTGCAGCGGAAAGCGAAGAGGAAAGGCAATACCGTTTGGCGACGGCAGCAGAGGCAATGCGTCGGAAGCGTGCGGCGGAAAGTGAAGAGAAAAGAAAACGGCGTTTAGTAGCTGAAGCAGAGGCGGCGCGTATGAAGCGTGCGGCGCTAAGCGAAGAGGAAAGGCACCAACGTTTGGTAGCCGAAGCGAACGCCAAGCGGGTCAAGCGACAGGCGGATTCTGCGAGACGGCAAAGGGAAGCCGAAGCGAAGCGACGCAGGCGGCAAGCGGATTCTGCACTACGGCAAGCGGAGGCCGAAGCGAAGCCAGCGAAGCGACGCAGGCGGCAAGCGGATTCTGCACTACGCCTAGCGGAGGCCGACGCGAGGCGACGCAGGCGACAAGCGGACGCTGGAGTAGCTGTAGCGGGTACAGTTACTCTAGCGGAGGCCGAAGCGAAGCGACGCGGGCGGCAAGCGGATTCTGTACTACGGCAAAAGGAGGCCGACGCCGCGGAAGCGGAGGCTACGAACACCTTCGAGCGGGATTTTCCGGAGAATCCATTTGGCCAAGTATGCTCTGTGTGCCATAGACTGTGGCATAAGAAGGATCTATGGAGTGAAAATAAAATGCAAAGGGGTGCAAAAAGAAGGAAAAAGGGTGAAAAAGTTGCCATAAACGAGTGGAAAGGGGTAAAAAAGGGTTAGGAAGACCTAATGCTAGCGCATTTCCATCCACTAATCGCCAATTAAATTTTTTCCTTTGCGATTACGCAGCGGAGGAAGGTGGCACGTTTTCCTTTTTTCCCTTGTGCCTAGATAAACGGTATAAAAGAAACTTCAAATCTTTTCAACTCTAAGAAGGAAATGCAGAGAAGCCGCACCGTTGTGCAAGACGCACCGACGTAACATTTTCAAATAACGGCATCATGACTTGTACACTGGAAAGTATGATATACTCGTTCACCACTGCCCTTTTTTATGTGCAGCCCAACCAGGTGCCACTGGGATCAGTTCTCTCGACGGGTCCAGCAGGTACATCTAGCACCGGCATCCCTGTTGGAGGCTCCATTTGGGTGAGCTTGCTACCAAGGTCATTCCTTTTGACTGTGTGCACTGTGCGTTGGGTGTTCCGTATTCGCTTACTGGAACAGTCCTGCTTATGACTGCAGGGTGTTCATTAGGTCTTTCCAGTTCTCTTGAACTGACTCCTCCAGTTTGGGTAGTTCAGGAACGAGCTCTCGCTGCCACACAGTGGGGCTGCACTACAAAACTTTTGTTTCACCGGTTCTCGGCGAAGAGCGAATGTTAGCGCCCCTCCGAGCCAGTCGGAGCAATGGGGGCAAAGCAGGTGACAGCACTCACCAAGGATACAAGGGCAAACATGGAAACAGCGCGAAAAAAAAAACAAGGGGACAAGAATGAGAAGTGAACAAAACGTAATCCACCCCCTTGAGGCACGCTCGAGCGCTTAAACAAATCTGCCAAATTTCTTGATGAAAGACAAGGGGAGAGCAAAACCCAAGCAGTTGGAGAAGAGGGAAGGGGGACTCCTCCGATACCCGGATCCTCTGTTGTGTGTCCTAGACGTTGTTTTTTCCCCCCTGGAAGATTAGCCAGTCACTCAAAATTTGTACAAAAGTGCTTTCCTCTTTCTCCCGGCCATGACTTTGACAGCACTGCACGCTACTAATGAGATCGAATAGAGCGACGCACCTCCCTCCAATGCACCGATTGGCTCGCTGGGACCATACCCTTCGCCGTCTGCCAAGTTACGGCGATACAGAGCGTAGTCCACAGCACTTTGCCCATCAAACAGGCCTATTGACTAAAGCTGATAAAAGAAATTATCACTGGCTTATTGATCATTACATCTGGTGCAAGTTACAAAAACAGTCCGCCAACTTCATTTTTTTATACATAGAATACATTCCTAGACTTTATCTATGGGTTTTCGGCGACGCGTGGAAGCATAATGAATAGCGCAGTGCACACTCGGAAACGGTGGGTCGTAAATTGCGAGGGTTGTGATCTCGCAAATGTTAAAAGCCACTGCGGCGTCACTTCTGAAATCTGCGGAATGAGCGCATTGCAATTAGCCCTTTTTCGTTTGGCAACGAGCTCGGTGGAACCACCTATTGGGCAGCCCCGGGCATTTCCGGTCCGCGTATATGTCCAATTTTTCACTTGTCATTCTTTAATCATAAGCGCGAATTAAATCTGACTGTGCTATATGTGGCCAGTTTGAGAAGATAGTGTGTGTATTTGATTTTGCAAATACTGCAAAGCCCGCCGTCTATAGTTCAGAACCAGAAATGGTTGCGGGCTACATGCACACTGGCACCACCGCGTTTTAACCCGCGCGAGAAAGAGCGAATAGACGTGCTGCCATTCAATTACTTTTCTTTTTCTTCAGATGGTCTGGCTGCAAACAAACATTTTCTTGCGGTTGTTTTTTATTTTCTTCAGATTTTGAAGTTGAGCTTGCTGCGGTGGGGTTTGCATGATTCTCCGGCTGGATTCACTGTTTGTCGCTTTCTCAACACTGCCGGGTGGGCCTGACTATCATTAAGCTTTCAGTAAAAGTCGGTGGGATACTGAAAAGGAAACTATGCTGAAAGTCCACACCAAACCTATAGTCGCGACAGGCTAAGAATTTCTTAGAAGCTCCGCTCCCATCGTGCGCTCGTTGCCCTTGGGCCGGCTTTGGCTGCACGAGAAACAAATTGTCGTCATAGGAGGAGAGTTCCCTCTGGAGTCTGAGCGTCTACCGACCCCGCCGCTTCCGCGCGCAGACCCTCTCTCCACGAGATCGCGACCAGACACGGCACGACTCACACGTACCTGTATTGCTATGCTAAAATAAACCTACGCAGTTAAATCAACCTTATCTCGACCACGACACCTTTCACCCCCTATGGTTAAGGATATCGCTTTAGTAGGACGTAATACGATCCCAAGCGAAATATTTTGTCGAAACAATGTTGGGATTCTTTGCGTTAAAATGTGATTACCAGCTGCTTGGCAGGGCACGTGTGCACGTCAGCCGCTGCTGAAGACACACCAGGCTAATTTTTCTGCGGCCCGCATGTTTTCGTTGCCGTCCGATTGGAAAAATTGGGCAGTTGAGTTTTGTGCAAGCTTGGACAAACCATGTGCACCGTGGCACGAAAGTGGCATCCCTGGAGTGGATTCCTAATTCCACTGTCGTTCTCTAGTCCGCAGTTTGCCTTCCGACCTAACGCCCCGCAACTGAAAGCGCGATTCGTGGAGCTACGCGAGGTACCGTGAAAAAAGAGCGGTACCCTCTAACCCAGGGATGTTGACTGCGCGCGAGCTCATTTAAAATGCCGGAGACCCTGCCTTGTTTAACCGGGGCTTAAGATAATGGTCAACCGCCTGTTCCGCAATCCAGCCCCGACCTCACTGGGTGGAGGTATCGACGTTCTCGAGTAGTTGAACTTCTGTACACTGTCCTCGAGGAGCAGGCATAGAGAACTGGCTCCGCTCTTTGGAATATGGAAGCCCCGACCCGCTCGTTCCTCAGGGTGTGCGCATTAGGTGACGAATCGGCGTCATTGTTGCTTGAAAACACATTATTCATACTTTGCACGGGACGTTGTCGTAACGATCCTTCTTACTTACTGTATTACTTACCGCACGCAGCAGAGTGTGAAGGCGCCAAATAGCTGCAGACAAGTCCCGAACGGGGTTCCGCGTTTTCGGTGCCTTCTCTTCCTCGAAATAGGCGGGCAGTGGTTACCATTTATTTCTTTTGACATGTTCGGCACTTTTCGGTTCTCGTCATTTGCTGATGAGATCATTTTCTCAACATCCACGAAGAAGCAGAGAACTTCCGGTCTGGAGACTTTTCTGATCGCTTCCTCCGGCGAAGGAGACGATAACAGATCCGCAAAGCAGCAACTATGTGAATGAAAGGTTATACTGAAGGTGGCTGGAATGACCGTGACTTAGGGTGCGGAGAGGGAGGGGGGAGGGGGGGGGGGGTCAAAATGCATGCATATATTATAGGGTCGACTGGATTTCAAGAAAGCTGAAGCCCCATAAGCCCCCCCCCCCCCCCTCCGGCTACGCCCCCTCAGGGTAATCGGCTCTTAGGGGGTGCAGGTGGCAGCTCATGGCAGAGTAGAGTGCCTTCATGTCACAGAACAGTGGCACATCAACTCATCGACAGGTCCAAGTTGTATTCTAATTATGTTGATAAAAATTATTTGGGGGCAATGTGATAGAAAAACGAACTATGGCGCCTGGAACGCGTTTCCGACTGGTGTGTTTACCACGTCCAAAAAAGGGCCCCTATATTTCCGCCTGATGACGTCGTAGAAGTTTCATACGGTCTCCGGTCGCGACCCCGACGGTGTCCCAGCAGCGGTGGTAGATGTGGCAGACGCCTGTTCTGCTGCCGGTCGCTCTCCAGTGTGACGGTCCATGGAAGTTTCGGCAGCCAGAAGTTGGGACGCCGCAACGACAGCGACACTCACTTTTGCTCGTGCTTTCCGCCAGCATTTGTGCGACCAACCGGCAGGATCGCGACCTCAGACAGTAGTGAAGGTGGGCGCAACTCAGCGTTTGCAATTTAATGGTGGCGCCTGAGGGAGAGGATTGGGAAAGAATATGCGCCAATGTTGCCTGCACGAGAGCAGACGCCCGCTCTGTTGCAACTCTGTTGCCCATCCGCGTTTCCTTCTCTCGCCCCCCATTGCAAGCAGCGAATGCCTTGGCGTAGCCTTTCTCTCTTCCTTCTCGCTCTGGAAATTATAAATGTCGAGAAGAGAAAGCAGGGTTGCCAGACAAGCAGCAACGTCCAAGCTGGTGGAATTTACCATTTTTCACGTTAAACAAATACTTAACCTATCGAAGCAAAACTGGTGGCTATAGAAAAGTTATCATTTATAACCTGCATAAATTATTTAAGCATATTAATGGGCTCTTATGACCTGAGTCAGGAAATAAAACGGCCCTTTCCCCCTTCCCAGCAAAATTTAGTAATTAAATGGCGTCCATATCCCGTGACCCCCATCAAGCAGTTGCGCCCACCCTCACTAGAGCCGCCCTAGCATGACACACTCCGGCTTCTGTGACGTCATCTTTTGCCACTTCGAGACCACTTTCGATATATGGGCAGCATAGGATAAGTTGAGCTCACACTGCCTGATGATAGGGAGAAAATTGTCTTAGAAGGGCGGGAGAAATCCTGTTTGCCTAGTTAGTTAGGTCGTTAGCGGTACCTAACCCCTTTTGAGACAGGGGGTCAGCAAAGGTTTAGATTGCCGACACAGGTAAAAGTTTTAGTTTCTTGGTTTGTTCTAGCTTTTCCCACTGTTGGGACACTTTCACTGCTTGGACTTGGGCTAGGTGGCGCAAGCTACCGCCCGCTACAAAGAGTTGACGGAGTGCGACGTTTGCTCGCGAAAACGTAGAGAGGGTGTATCACAGAGTGTTTCCAACTCATGGAGAATAGAAGGGTAGGAGAGGGCATGACGTCAGCCGCGTAACCTCCACAAGCCATGCTCCCTTGACGCCTCGCCTCTTTCTCATTTTCCTCCTTACTCTCCTCACTTACCACGCCAACGTGACCACATCACGTGACCATAGCTAACTTCGTCTTGCTATGAAGTACTAGAATATACCACAGTCTAGCCTTCGGTGTGATAAAAACTACCGGACGGAGCGCGCGCAAGCGTGCAAAGAGTCCTTCTACAATCAACCATCCATCTCACACGTGATGTGTCACGCGCACCAATCGCCAGACAGATCTGCGGTCACGCTGGGCACAAAATCGTTTAAACTTTTTATGACTAGGCTTCACCAATATTGCAACGTGCCCCCTCCTAGTACTTCTGCTTGATTTGGGACACGGGGTTTACTTCCGCGCATGCCCAATTCGCGCGCGCGCGCGCAGAAACCGCGGAATAGTTTGTGTTGAACGTTCTCTTTAATCTAGGCGCTCTACGCTACCGCCATCCATCGAGTAGCCCTGTT